TGAATCGGTAATATAAAATGAGTAAACAAAATTGAATAAGTAAAAGAAGCAAGATAAGCCTTATTTGTGTTGCATTGCATGTGTTCAAACCGAACGTTAGTTTGAACACAAGGAAAATGGGATATTTCATACTCAATAGTGATGAAATATGCCATTTTCCTTGGTCTCCATTGCCCTTGATCATGCATGATAGGGTAGTGGTCCTTTGAATCTTATTTGTGCATTTATCAAAATTGTGCAACTTGGATCTTTGGCCATCATGCAATGAAATTGCTTGATTGGTGGTTTTGGATCTAAGTGTGCCACTTCATTGAGGTTTTGAGATGATAAGGAGGGGTACCGTACAAACAAATCCCTGGAAAAACTTTCATTTTGCTTTGTTTGTGCTCTGTTGCAGTATGGTGACTCAGAGCATCAGTGGCTGGCAGTGCCCCATCCATGGCCTGCAGTGCCTCATTTCTGGCTGGCAAGGCATCCTTTTGGCCGGCAGGGGGTTGGCAGCAACCTCCCATGGCCGGCAGGCCACTGGTGTGATCCTTCGCAGAGATTTGGTAAGTTGGAGCAGAAAGTTTCTGGAGTGTGCTCAACCCTACAAATAGAGTCTCTCGGGAGCAAAACAGAGGGTTTTTTGGGGCGAAAACTAAGCATGCATGCATCCTTCGTCTCTCGAGGCCATTTAGTTGCTTTGCTTAGTTAGTTAGTTGTAACTAATTCATACAAGTGTTGTAACTATTTAGTTAATTAATTTGTTTTGTAATTAATTAGCTTACTTCGATTTGTAATATTTAATTAGTTTAAATAAGTTAGTTAATTCATTTCAATTGTTGTAATAATTTGTTTAGCTTAATTAGCCTAGCTAGCTAGTTTATTCATTCAGATCCTCCTTCGTGAAGGCGTAATATTGTAATAAGTGTGCATGTGTATGCGTATGTCTTCTAACCCCATGTCTTTCTTCCTTTTATTTAATTGCTTTTGATGGTTATATTAGGGGCATTTTTAATTAGCATACATTATGCTTGCATGTTTGCATCCATTCATTTGTCTTGCATGCACCGAGACTCGGCGCATCATTCAAATTGCATTGCACTTTCAATACTTCTTTGACTACGTGTTTCAAAGCATGCTATCAAAGTGTTTTATATGCCATATAAGTAGCTGAGCCTATTTAATTGCATATCACATGCGTTGCATTAGGCATCTTGTATAGTTAGGATCATGCATTTTTCTAACTAATTTCTATTTTGACTTGGAGTACTCGGTGAGTTTTATGCTTTAACATACTTGCATGAGTGCAATTGCCATATTGCCATGTTTTGCATGCTTGCCATGAGGTTATGTGTTTAAATGCTAAACTGCATGAATGCCTGTGGATGAAGGCTTTGTTGTTTGAATTGGAATAATTCAACGAATGTGTGTTTTAAGCCCACTTTGTTGTGGCGAAATCCTGTTTTAAGCCCACTTTGTTTGGTGGCAAATCCGCATTTTTGAGTCCACTTGAGGGTGGCAAATTCAAACTATTTTCACAAACAAACACGAGTTGAATTGTTCCAAGTCTTGCAACTAGTCTATACTTGCTTGTGTGTGTCATATAGTAATGTTAGCTAATAACCAGAACAAGAACACATAATGTTTATAAAAGAGTATATCATGATTAGTAGAGGCCGATCTTTGATCGGACGAGTGGGGGTGCTCATTTCAGGACCTTTCCCTCTCGTACCTAAGTTTCCGAGTCGAGGCAACTTTGGTGATGATGGACACGTGGCCTTTGGCACGAGTTAGGGTTTCCTAAATTTCTCCAAAAATAAAATATTTAGGTGGCGACTCTGTAATCTGGCAAAGCAGTCCAATTTTGATATTATTTGATTTAAAATCGATTTTCCAAAAAATCCTGTTTTAAGCCCACTTTGTTTGGTGGCAAATCCGCATTTTTGAGCCCACTTGAGGGTGGCAAATTCAAACTATTTTCACAAACAAACACGAGTTGAATTGTTCCAAGTCTTGCAACTAGTCTATACTTGCTTGTGTGTGTCATATAGTAATGTTAGCTAATAACCAGAATAAGAACACATAATGTTTATAAAAGAGTATATCATGATTAATAGAGGCCGATCTTTGATCGGACGAGGGGGGGTGCTTATTTCAGGACATTTCCCTTTCGCACCTAAGTTTCCGAGCCGAGGCAACTTTGGTGATGATGGACACGTGGCCTTTGGCACGAGTTAGGGTTTCCTAAATTTCTCAAAAAACAAAATATTTAGGTGGCGATTCTATAATCTGGAAAAGCAGTCCAATTTTGATATTATTTGATTTAAAATCGATTTTCCAAAAAGATTTGCTGGATTTGGACTCTTTGGTGTTTATCAGTTTCACATTACACTTTGCGAGATTAGATTCAGAACCGCGAGAGTCCGAACTGTGAGGCCTTCTTTTCAAACCCTTTTCGAAAGGCGGGGGTGCGGAAAAAGGCGAGTCCACAGGTAGGGTAAGTAATGTTCTTTAAATCTCAACCGAGGATGGGTATCCACTAATTTCTCCATATATATGCATATATATATATATTTTTTAGGTACATCGGAAAATAATTTCTCTATATGTTTTCACTACTTTATTTACAATTAGAGTTTTAATTCTCACACTCTCTCATCCTCTCATTACAGCAACGGCAATTTGCGATGGCGATAATCTAGCGGTGATAAGATTGTAACTATCGATTAAAAATGCGCAACTAATCATAACCAAAACATGAAAATTGACGACAAAAATGTACAAAATTTCAATTAAGGTAATCATTAGCTAAGATAAAAATTGGGAAATTCAATCTAAGGTTACCATCAAATCATAAAGAAATGCAATAAAACAACTGCAAGAAATATTGAAACAAAAAAATTCATGCTATAAATGCAAATAAAAATTTAAAAAAAAGAAAAAAGAAGAAGATGGAAACAAGAACTCACCTTCATATAGAGAGAAGGAGATACATAAAATTTTTAAAAAATAATTTTTTTTTTGTAGGAATAGAATTTTTCTCAATAAATTTAAAAAATTCTAAATATACATAAAATTTGACAAGAATAATGTGACAATTTTAATTAATGTGTATTTGATTTTGTTGTTGAGCCAAATAAAATAAAATAAGATTCAATGTATATTTAGCTTTGGTTGTGAATCTTAAAAAAAGAAGAAGAAAAAGGATCAAGTTAGCTTAAACCCATTAGGAGATGGGGAGCGTAGTACTTATGGGAAATGAGAAAGGGGAAAAATAAGTATAGGAGAATGGGGACGAGAATTAATATCCACCTCATTAAACCCTATTGCCATCCTTAGTGAAAACATATGGAGAAATTATTTTTCGATGTACCTAAAAAAAAAAAAACTTATGGGGAAATTAGTGGGTACCCATTTTCGCCCCATCTCCAGTGGAGATTCAAAGAACATCATTTACCCTACTCGATAGACCAAAAAAAAGGGAAAAAACTCATGTATTTAAGTTAGGTCTCCATGAATACCTACAAAATAGATTATCTACTGCCATCCCTACATGTCATGACGTCAAGATTGAATTAGAAGGATTTCAGCACCATCAATAATAATAATAATAATGATATGCTTGCAAAGCCTGTTAAGCTCTCAGTTGTCTGTCCATACTATATTTTGCTATATTAATTTGATTTTTTAATTATTTTAATTTAATTAAAAAAGTTCTATTTAAGATAAGTTTTTGATTTTTTTGGTAAAAAAATAAAATGATTATAATTTGAATATAACATTTTATCTTATTGACTAAATTAACTTATTTTATTTTTTTGTTGGCTAATTTAATCCAACCCATTTGCCAAACGGGGGTTTAGTTGGTTAGAGCTTACTTGGTTTTCTCTCAAAATAAATTTTCAATTTCAGTTTGTTATATTTTTAATATTTTTTTTCCTCAAAATTTTCATAACTTATTTATTTATGTGCATTTAAATCAATATTATCTAAAAACTAAAAAAATATTAACTAAACCCAAAAAACATGAAAAAAGAACAAGCAGTTTTCAAAAACTAAAAACAATTGTGGGTCTCTCATATGAAAGCCATAGGTTCAAGCTTCAAGGAGTGAACACACATTTCATTCCTTACTTTTTCTTGAGGCTACTCCTAAAAGTTTTGACCCAATAATTAATTGGTATACACTACAAGAATTAACACTTTTGGCAACAAAAAAATTGGTCGCTAAAAGTCAATTTTTGGTTGGCAAAAGTTATCCGCGACCAATTTTTTTGGTTGCTACTTTGGTTGCCAATTGAGGGTCGGCAAAAGTAATTCGCGACCAAAATTGTGGTTGGTCGGCAAAAGTTGGATTTCGCGACTAAATTTTTAGTCGCTAAATATTTAATTACCGCGACTAATTTATTTTGTCGGCAAAACACTTTGGTCGCGAAAAGTGATATTTTCCCGACCATAAAGTTTGGTCGCCAATTATCACATTCAACGACCAAAAAGTTTGATTGCCAATTGTGACATTTCGTGACCAAAATATTTTGGTCGCCAATCGTGACATTCCGCGACCAAAAATTTTGGTCGTCAATTGTGACATTCCACGACCAAAAGAAGTTTTGGTCGCCATTTGTTACTTTTCGCGACCAAAACTTTTGGTCGACAAAAGTGAGTTTCCACGACCAAGAGCTGTTTTGGTCGGCAATAGATGTATTTTTTGCGACCAAAGCTCTTGGTCGGCAATTGTCTTTTTTTTCAAAAAAAAATAATTTATTTGTCGTGACTAATAAATTGGCCGCCAAAGCAGGAAAACAATACACCTGTAATTCCTAATAATTCATTCAATCCATAATAAACCTATAATTTTAAAGCATCATTCAAATTAACTGAATCATTAACATTCGACACAATACATAATTCATTAACATTCGACACAATACAATTATTCTAAGTTTTCATTCACAAGTCACATCCATCTAGCATAACAAATCGAAACATAACTATTTGTTATCCATGCGCAGCTATCAAAAAATAAAACTACTAATATTTGTTATCCACACACATGCATCCAAAAATATTTAATCCTTCAACAACACAGCTTAATCCACTAAGTTGCCTTGATAGCCAATCAAAAAGATCCTTGCGCCCTTCCGTGCCAAGCTTCGCATCCATCAAAGCAGTAGTGATGTCAGGCACCTAATAAAGAAACATAATTGGAAAATTTATTAGAGAAGCATGATAAATATATAAAATTATTTACAAAATCTGACAGTATACCCTGCAAGAAACAACTACCCAATATTAAAGTCAAATTTAAAGGACATAGAATACAACGTTAGAAGGAAATTTAGGTTTAGAGCAAACAACCTTGCTAGACTTCTCAACTGCAAGTCCCATTGCAGATGCAACAGCACCAATAGTAGAGAGAGTTGCCATTCCTGATCTAGAATGCATATCAACGTCAGGGCGAGCAAAACTACTTGATCCTCTGCGGGCTGTAGCTTCAGCTGAGTGAGAAGCATCATTACCTCTTGAAAGACAAGGCATGAACCCAAATGTTCAATTCACAGCATATCCTATTTGGTTTGCTCAATCAAACAATGTCACAATACTCCAATTTGAAAAGAAATAAAAATACTTCAGCTTTCTTCAAACAGAAAGTTTATGCAATTTCAACAAATCACATAATTTCTGCTGATTAAAAATGTTGATTCCAATTCTAAACTAACTTTTGTAATTGCATGCTCTATAAGAATAATAGAACAATATCATATCAATGGGGCATCTAAATGCCCTTTCAAATTTATTTATTTTTAATTCACTAAACATGTTACAAACACAAAAACACAAACGAGATAAATCACAGAGTTTTCAACAATCTTCCACAGACATAGTCACTTGTTAAGTTGTTCATTTTCCAGGAAACATAGGACTTAGACATCAAATTCCTTAATAGAACTTGTAGATAAAATTACCAAGGCACTAAAACTGCACAACCAACTTACCTTGATGCTGAGCCAACAGAGCAACCTCCTCCAGATACAATAATTTGGCAAGTTTTTACGAAGGCTCAAAACATTAAGACTAACTAGACAAAATATAGTGTTGGTCAGGCTGTGAATATTAAAGGTTTAGTCATTTCATTGACTTCTTATTATAATTGTTCACAATTTTGACACTATAGGAGGATTCTTTGAAAAACTGAGTTGCTGACCTAAAAACAGGTACGCACTTTCAATGGAAGCAATCACAACTTAAGTATCAAGGACATAGAGCACACAATTTGGTTCATATTTACCTCGAGTAATCTTTATATGTAAACCATCACTAAACACTCATAGTTTCAGAATTGACCATAACAGCTGTCACATTATTGTCTCCACAACTACTAAACAATAACTACAAAAGCAATAGAATAAAGGTACAAAACTCTAAAACTTAAAATACCAGATTTCACACTCACTAAACTACAATAAGAATAGAAATCAATCATTTAACTACATAAGCAGAACACACTGTTGAATGATCAATTTGATTAGTAAGGCAAAATTTTACTGTCATGACTCAAGCTTTAATACAAAACAGTCAATGGAACTGGAGCTTTGATACATAACACTCATCATAAGGGCATCCATCCATCCTTGTAAGAATAGCCTCTTTACTTTCTCCAAAGTGCCTAGAATTATGTTACAGGGACACCTCAAAATGCAAAATCAAACTCTGTTGAACACAACATGACACTGATACTATCTTAATATGTTCATTTTCCTGACATATTGAGACTTTGAGATGAATGAGGTACTCATATTAAGTGCTTGTAAGCTAAGAACACAAGTTTTACCCTAGGGTATAGGAGAACAAAAGTTGGAAACTCTTGGATTTGTAGAGGAAAAAGAAAAAGGAAAGGGAAAAGTGAATGAAATAGAAGCAAAATTTTTCCACAAATTTCTTCCCTTTCCTTTTCCCTTCACAAATCCAAGATCCAAACACAACATTAGTGTTATGTATCCTTTTGTCCAAAGGTTTATAAATTTGATGGATCCTTTAGCAATTCCAATTATAGAGATGAAAGTAAGGCTTACTTGAACTGGCCCAGCTGCAATTAGAGATCCTGCAACAGCACCACCAAAAAATTAAGAGTGATATTGTTAACATTCCACATCTAGCTTCTCACACTCCCCTTGTGAAAGGCTAAAAGACAAAAATTGGAGTGTGAGAAGTTTAAAGTAGAGTGACTATCAATTCTCAAAAATTATCCTCAGGCCATATGGACAAATCTATATTCTCTCAAGCAATCCTAGACAGTTGCACATATCCTATAAATAATGAACTTACTACATCTAGTTGCTCTAGATTATGTGCCACATAGCTAAGTATGTGATGATGTCCAAAAAAATGTCTACAGACTTGATAGACAGCATGACAGACAACAGAAAGCAAAAGGGGACATAACAGACTTTTTTTTCATTGTGAAGTCTGCAGGAAGAGGCAGATCAAATTAGTTGTTACTGATCATAAGAAAAAATCAAATTAAACACAACCCAACACAGCACTTCTCAACCATTTAGGATTTTCTATGGATAGTGAACTAAATAGAAAAATAGTTCTTAACAAGAACATCCAGTGTTGTGAATGACCCACAAGTTTCTCCATAATCTACACCATAAAATTTCATAATGAGATGAACGAAAAAAAAAAGAGGAAGAGAGAGCAGATTTTTTGTTATGAAAATCATATCCACCACACTTCATCCAAACACTCGAACCAAATCAAGGAAACACGAAATTCAACAAACCCACCAATGAAAATAATCAAAAAAACCACTAAAGCGGCACAACCACACATAGGCGCTAATAAATAAAAGACACAAAACAAATTTAAAAGACAAAAATTGTGGAACTAACAAATTCTAGAAAACCACAAGACCTTAAAGGCGAACTTATATTTGTTAAAAAAAAAAAGAGGGTAAAATATCAATGCATCCCCTCAACATGAAATTGGAGTCTTATCCTTAGATTCAGCTGTCACTTTGGGAATATCATTATGTAAGCTTTAAACCAAAATTATAAATATTTAATTAATTGATGAGAGTTCATGAATTTTAGGGTTTGAAGCCATGCATGCATTCAAACAATAATCCTGTGCTATAATAAGAATTCATATGATTTTGAGATCTATAACAAAGGTTCAAGTGAAAGAATTAGCATAATAATCACCAGGAGAAAAGTAACTTTTTCCTTAACTAGAAGAAGAAAAATGAAGAATGATGAAGTTTGGGAATACTAAGTTTATGGTACCCTTTTCTTCTTGTCTCAAAACAATGATCAATTTCAATTGGTATATATAGTGAAGATAGCTATAGAATATCGTATTTAAGAAGCCTAATCATAAGAGGACAAATAGGCAAACGACCTTGAAGTATGAGCATTATACAAGCAACAGCTGCAACTATCATCAGATTTTAATCTTATATATATAATATTAATCATTTATGGTTGTGTTTTTTTGTCCTAGATTTTGTTTCTTAGGTACAAAACAAAGCAAGTTGAATTGGTTGGATGCATAGATGCAAATCTGTATTAGGAACATGCTGCATTTTAATTATTTTTAATAACAAATGAAAATCTTGGGACCAAACCATAACCCACAGATGATTGGGACCAAACCAGTTCAACTTTCAACAATCAAGGTGAAGCAAGGCAGCAAACTGCAAGGTCAAACCCAAGGAAAAGACTCAACACAAGCAACATCCAACTCAAGAGCAACACAGCAACAGTAGTTTGTTTAAAAAAAAAAAAAAATTTAAGTGCTTTTAGTGATTTGAAAATTAAATTATGAAAAACATACTTACAGAGCAAGTTGTGTGATTATCTGTTTTATCTCTCAACAATGCTCTTTACCTGGTTTTCACCCATGAGACATTTAGATATTTAATACAGGAAATCACAATAAGGGTGCACTTCAAGATTAGCAAAGCTAGGTAGAAATACTTTACATTCAATTCATTGAGAACAAAGAATTAAAAGAATAGTAAAGCTCCTACAACTGGAGGCCCTTAAAGCACATCAAGAAAAAAAAAATATTTTACATTCAAAACACTAAAAAAGATGAAGATACTAAAAAATTATACTCACCTCTCAATGTGTAATCCGACTAGATGAAGCAATATCAGAGCAATGTAAAATATTTTCGAAACAAGTATCTCTTGCATTATATTTTGGCACAATAGTATAATGAACTCCATCTAAGCATTAAGAGGGAAAGATAGAACTCCAGCTTTTAGAGGAAAAGAGAGAGAAAAGTTTTAGGGAGAATAACAAATGGGCTGCCTTGAAGCAAGGCATAGCAATATCAAAACATAAGATGAAGCATACATTTGAATAAGTCAGTACTTGCTTTTTAAGCTTTGATCTCAAATTGTTCAAATTCTGGGTATAAATACATTTTCCACCACTAAGAATAAATTCCAAGATGCCTAAAAGGAATGACATAAATCATAAGTAGATTGAAAGATTATCAAAACAAAGTAAAGAACCAAAATCCTTTTTTTTTCTCCAAACCAACACTGACAATATAATCATAAGATTGGGCCTGATGAGAGAATCTGAATTACAATATATATATATATACATGTCAAAAAAGAACTGATCTTATCACATGAAATTAATGATACATTGCACCCAAAAAATAAAAAAATCAATGATATAGATACAGACACACAAAAGTCATTAATTAAACAAAAAAACAAAACTAACTATGTGAACTATGAGGAATGTCCATCTATGAGTATATTGGTTTTCATCAAACAAGGAAAACAAACTAAGCTCATATAAACACCTTGTCTCCTTTATATAAATTATAATTAATAGAAGCAAAATATACCATGCAACACAGCACAAACCTAAAGATCGAGAATTATGGGATTCCCCAATCTGGTATTTTGGAATAACTCATAGTACTACCCCTTTCCATTTGTTTGCATTCCTGTATAAATAAAAGACAATATAATCAACATAATCACCCTTCAAGAAAAATAATCTCCAATTCATTAACTCTTAACAGAGAAAGTAAGCCACAACTTTATCTCGTAGTTTGCCTCATAAGGTGATGTTCTGATAATTCTTGTAATTTGTAGCTTTCCCTTGTTACTTCAGACTTTTCCCAAAGAATGCCCTAAAATTCAAATAGACTAAAAATTCTCAATTTAGAGTATAGAAAAACAAGTAGTTCTTGTATGATGTTCCAATCTAAAAGGAACAAACCAGTAGTTGAGTAGTCCCCAAGCTGCAACAATACAATTGAGCTTAATTAATATTACCTGAATGCATAGAAAACTGGTGTAAAACTCACAACAAACACCACTATCAGATCAAGATGCAAGAAAAGAAATGCAAGTATAAGTCCAAACAATGCTTGAAGAAACCCCACCTAAGACGCAATGTATCCCATCTCCTTCTAGTTAAATGTATTAAACCAGCCAAAATGAGTAATTCACTATTATGTATCCAAAAAATTTTAAAAATTACTCACATCATTGCACTTTTTTT